GAGCGTCTGCGGGGCGGGGGGGCGGCTGAGCGGCGGCCCCCGGGCCCCGCCCTCCCCTGTCCGGTCTCCCCCTACACCGGTCTGCCTCGGTGGGCATCACGGGGGACCCGCCGGGCCCCGGCGGCCGCGCGTGCGTGTGGGCCCGAAGTTCACGCCGCGCTCCTCCGCCCCCAAAACCGGGGGCCTCGGGGGCGGGGCCTCGGCGGGAAGCCTCGGGGACGAGCTGGCGGCGCCCACCCCATCCGTCCCGGTCCCGCGAGAGCGCCGAGCGCTGGAAGCACGACCCGCGCCGCCGCCCGGGGCGCCGAGGCCCGCGGGAGAGGCCGGGAACGGGCGCGCGCTCAGCAGGAGCAGCTGCACCGGCCCGCGGCTCTGAGGGGAGCCTGGCCCGGCGGGACGCAGCCCTGGGAGAGCGCGCTTTATCCTGAGGAGAGCGTGTCGGGACGAGAGTGCCGGCCAGCGCTGCGCTGCGCGCAAGGCGGCTCTCAGAGGACCTGCCCTGAGCGGGGCGCGTCCCGAGGAAGGGCTGTCCCCGTGGAAATAACGCTCGGAGCGGAGCGCGGGCTGGCCTGTCCGCCGTCCTCTCGGGACGCCGCGCTTCCTGAGGGGAAAGCTGCCCTGGCTTGTGCATCACTCTCAGGGGAACACTGTCCTGACGGGGAGGCCGGCGTCCACACGGCCAGCTGCTAGGTCGAGAGCCGCGCGCACACCCGCGCTACCTTTAACTGAAGCATGTTGCTGAGCAGGACGTCCCCGATTCGTCGGTGGTCGCCTGTGGCCTGGGCACTGGAAGACCCCTCCCTGGAGCGGAGACGGACAGACACGGTCAAAACCTCGCGACAGCGTGTGAGATACGCTTCGCTTGCTGCCAGTGCCATGGTGGGTCCCAGGCTCAGCAAGAACTGCAGCGAGAGGCTCTGAGGGCGAGGCCGTACTTGACAGATGTTGTCACATCTCAGCCATCCTCGAAATGGTGGTGACCGGGCAAAAGGGTCTCCTTTTAACCTGCTTCTGCCCTCTCCTGCGGAATAGGGTGAATGCAAGTGATGTTACCTATGGACTAAGGCTGTCTCGGTGCAACAGCGGCCCTTGTGAATTAGCTAGGAAGCTGGGAAGCTCCGCGCACAGGGATGGTAGCGCGGGCGGGGCTGCCTGCGGGCGCTGGGACGCAGGGCGTTACCAGAGCGCCAGCCTCTGCTCCACCTCGCGCAGGAAGCCTCTGTGGAACTCATAGATGGGGTCGATGTTGGAGAAGACCAGGGTCATCAGGTCCGCAGGCATGGCGTCCGCCTTGACCACAGCGCTCCGGAACCACTGCCGGGAGAGCTCAGGGTGACCAAGGGGCCTGGCCCCTGACGACACGCAGCACCGGCCCCGGAGCCCCCACGAGGCCAGCTCAAATCAGTGCCACGGCTGACCAGCCAGTTTTCACAACAGAAGAAAGCAATTCTGGGTGGAAAGCTTCGAAGGGATATATTCCCAGGTTCACAAAAAATCGCACCCAATATTCTGACCTGACGTAGACACGTTTTAAGGCAAATATATTTAACAGAACATGCACACATACACACACACGCAGGTCTCACGATGGCCAAGAGCCGTTTCTCAGGGGGGGATCCTGTGTCTCTGGCCCAGATTTAAGAAGTATTAAGAAAATCAAAGCAACAAAGGACTTAGGTTTCATACCACGGTAATAACTTCTAAATCCTTCAGGTATGTTCGCTCTGTAGCAAGAATCTCCTTTGCTATGAAATAGGCCTCGTCCGCGGGCGCACACTGCAAGAAGTGCAGACAGCGTGAGCGTGTGTCAGCCAGCCACGTCGCCCACGGTCCTAACGCGCCATCTCTTCTGCTCAAGTTAACGCTGTCACGTGATCTTCACGTGCACTTCCTGAGAGTCGCTTCTAAGTAAAGATATAAGCCCCGCTGTATCTCCCCCAGATGTTTTTCTCATTTTATATTATTCATTTTGAGAAAAGAATTGCTGTTTAAACAGCAACATATAGTGAAGCTAATTACTCGTTTTGTGATGAAATTACTGTTCAGATATCACTCACAGGACTGTAGCTGCTTAACACACAGATACAGGCACACCTCAGAGATACAGCAGGTTGGGTTCCAGACCCCCACAATAAAGCAAATATTGCAACGAAGTGAGTCACATGAATTTTTTTGGTTTCCCAGTGCATATAAAATTACATTTCCCCCATACTGTAGTCTATTAAGGGTACAACGGCCTTGTGTCTTTCCCTTTTTTTTTTTTGGCCATGCTGCACAGCTTGAGGGATTTTAGTTCCTTTCCCTTTTTTTTTTTTGGCCATGCTGCACAGCTTGAGGGATTTTAGTTCCCTGACCAGGATTGAACCTGGGGCCATGGCAGTGAAAGCACCAAGTCCTAACCACTGGACCGCCAGGGAACTCCCACATTATGTCTAAAAAAACAATGTACATACCTTAATTAAAAACTACTTAATTGGGGGCTTCCCTGGTGGCACAGTGGTTGAGAGTCCGTCTGCCGATGCAGGGGACACAGGTTCGTGCCCCAGTCCGGGAAGATCCCACATGCCGTGGAGTGGCTGGGGCCGTGAGCCTTTGCCGCTAAGCCTGCGCGTCCGGAGCCTGTGCTCCGCAACGGGAGAGGCCACAACAGTGAGAGGCCCGTGTACCGCAAAAAAAAAAACCCAAAGAAAAACTACTTAATTGGGACTTCCCTGGTGGCGGAGTGGTTAAGAATCTGCCTGCCAATGCAGGCGACACGGGTTCGAGCCCTGATCCAGGAAAATCCCACATGCCGCGGAGCAACAAAGCCCGTGCGTCACAACTACTGAGCCTGTGCTCTAGAGCCTGTGAGCCACAACTACTGAAGCCCGCGCGCCTAGAACCCATGCTCCGCAACAAGAGAAGCCACCGCGATGAGAAGCCCACCCAAACAAAGAGGAGCCCCTCCTCCCCACAACTAGAGAAAGCCCAGGGGCAGCAACGAAGACTCAATGCAGCCAAAAAAAGCAAAACAAACTAAAAACTACTTAACTGCTAAAAATACTAACCATCATCTGAGCCCTCAGTGAGTGGCAGTAGTAAATCAAAGCTCACTGACCACAGATACCACAACAGTCATAATAATAATGGAAAAGTCTGAGGTGCTGTGAGAATTATCAAAATGTGACACAGAGACACAAAGTGAGCACATACTATTGGAAAAGTGGTGCTGGCAGACTTGACACAGGGTCACCACAAACCTTCCATTTGTAGGAAAGAAAAAAAAAAAGCAGTACCTGCGGAGCGCAATAATATGAGGTATGCCCCACGCGTGGACGTGTTATTATCAACAGTTAAGCCTTAACTCACACAAAAGTCATTAAAATTGCCAAGCGATGTACGTTTTACCTGTGCCGGCGGTTAGAACCCGAGGCTGGCTGACGTGGCCCAGCCCCGGGGCTCTTAAACCTGCGACAGGGCCGCTGACCATCTGCAGGGGCCACAGGCAAGTCAGCGGTGACAGGACCCTCAGGAGCGGGAAGGGCAGCACGGCGCTCCCAGCAAAGCACAGGCCACATGCCCACCTGGGCTGGGGGCTGTGTCTTATCCCTGCAGGGCCCCACCCCACCCTGAGCACACCTCAGATAGCTGCCTCCGCCTCGGTCAAGGTCCCGGTGCATGGCCTCCCCTCCACTCTCTCCTACCTGGTGGACACCTGGTCCTGCTCCATCCCCGCACGCTCGCCCCGTTGCTCTTCCCCCAGGCGGAGGATTTAGGGCAGACCCTCCCACGTCTGCAGCTGTGCCAACAGGCACCTGGGACGTGCCCAGGAACAGAGGTCCCTGCCCTCGAGCTGACAGCCTCCCAGGCAGGAAGCAACTCCAGCTACCGGGGAAGTGACCCAGCCGGGCAGCAAAGCGCACAGAAGTACCAAGGGAGCAGGTGGGGTGGAGACAAGGTGAGCCAAGTGGTCACCGGCGGGGCGGGAAGGCAAGGTGTTTGGGGCCTATCTGAGCACATCAGGGTGCGCGGGGCCCAGGATGTGTCTGGGGGCCGGGGCTGGTCAGGAGGCGTAGGGAAGGGTGAGCCAGGCTGAGGGGTGGTGATCCTGACGGTCAAGGTCTGGGGTGGGGGGTGGCGAGTCGGCCGAAGGAAGGAGTGCGGCAGGGCGAGGGTCCGAGTCTGCAGGTGACCCGTTCGGGGAGGAAGGTGGGGCCGGGTTTGCACCGTGGGGTCTGAGACTTCTCCCCGGGGCCCTGGGGAGTTTAGGGAGGTCGCGGCAGCAGAGGCTGCTCCTCCTGTGTGTCCCGGAGGCCCCTGCTACGGCAGCCGCCCCCTCAGCCGTGGGGACACCAGGAGGTTCCACCTGACCCTTCACAGCCTGTCCTGCTGTCCTCCCTCTGGGACTTGTGTGTGGAGCATCGCGGGCTGCTTCTCATGCCAGCTTTGCCCACACCACTGGCAGCCACACAGTCCCGCGGCATCTCCTGGTGTCCCGCCCCGGACACCTGCAGGCCGCCTTTCCAAACTTCATGCTCGTCAATTCTTTCTTTCTGGGCTTTTTGCTATTAAAAAATGACATCTTCAAATCCACTGAAAAATCACTGAGCTTGTGTGCTCAGTGAGCTCTCTGGGGTCAGAGCTGCCTCAAGAGGCCCACAGTCCTGGTCTGGGAGGCTTCGGCCCTCCCTGTCCGGATCTCCCTGTGGCCAAGGGTCCTGGCTCTGGTCTGGATTGTGGACACGTCGCACGCACGCTGCCAGTGAGCGTTTCCTGCCTGGGTCCCCACTGAGGCCCGAGACCAGCTCCTCTTCCCGTGGCGGGTGAAGATGCCCAGAGAGATGCTCAGAAACAACCACGGCAGCATCACTGCTGAGGTCACAGTGATACTGCAAGGGCCAAGGGGACGCCAGCAGTAGAGAGGTCAGCAGCAGCTGGTGGGTGGCCAGCCTGGGTAGCCAGGGCCAACCCCTGATTTCCAGAGCAAAGAGCACCTCTTAGGAAACTCAGTGGAGAGAAAGCAAAACAGCTGCTGCTCTGCCAGCCATACCAGCAAGCAGACCTGCCCACAGGCCCCAGGTCAGGGCAGAGGGAGAGGCCCTGCTTTGTCCCCACAGAGCCCCGAGCCTGGTGCCCACACACAGGAAGGGAAGCAACCCCACCTTCCCTTTCAGGCCTTCCCAACACTGTGCGCCCCCACCAATTTCTATTAAAAAGGAGAAACAGCACAGTAAGTGGGAGACACAGGAAGGAGGAGGGGTTCCAGGAAGCAAGCTGGCACACGGGCTCCAAGGGAGGGTTGGGCAGTGCCCCCGCACCCCCACCCCCAGCTGGGCAGTCAGATGCCGACGCAGGAGCCCAAGGCCTGGCCAGCTGACGCCGAGGCTTCCAGGACCTGCCAGGGGAGTCATCAGGAAACCCAGGGGTCTCCCAGCGTGCATCTGGGGGGCCGGGGCCTCGCTGGCGATGCTTCAGGCTGTGGCCTCACCAGCGAGCGGGCACGTTTCTCTGTCTGGTCCCTGGCGCTCTGCCTACCGACCTCGCTCTTCCCCCGCGAGTCCACACGCCCAGCCCCTGGGACGCACCTCCAGAATGCCTCAGCCCCCAGCCTCACGGCCTCGCCTGACCCCCAGGCCTCCTCCCAGCAAAGCGGGGAGGCTGAGGCCCCCAGGTCCCCGGGATCCAGCCCCGCACTTGGAACCTACGGGCGCCAGGAACGCGAAAGGAATGAGGAGGCCCGTCTTGGCGCAGAGGGACCCCGAGCGCCCTGGAGGTGGCGGGAGGGTCTCAGGACTGGGGAACCCCCAGCCCCTGCTGCCCAGGCCCCCAGCAGCAAGCCCCCCAGGGGTGCCCACCTTGTGTCTCAGCTCTTCCTGGTCGTCTGTCCCGGCTCCGCCAGCGTCGCTGAGGACGGGGTTCAGGAGGGGAGAGGAGCCCTGCTCGGCTGGGCCCAGTGGGCTCAGGCTCGGTGGGGTCTTCCGGGTGGAGGGAAGCTGAGGACTCTCCACGGAAAGGCCTGGAAGTGAACGGGCAATGGAGCGAGATGAAGAAAGGCAGACCCGAGGGACAGCATCTGCCACCAGGCCCTTCCGGGGACACGCAGGCCTCAGTGTGACATAAAGCAACGGTGAGAACAGGTGACAAGTGAGAGCCCGCTTCCCCAGAGAACCTCCAGGGCGGCTTGGCCCAGGGCTCTGGGTTCCCGGGGAAGATGTGGCCACGATAGAGCCAACGGGGAGGAGGGTGCGCACGTAAGAGGCCAAACTGACGCTGACTTATCTGGAAAAGAACGTGTGTCCTGAGGCCGAACTCACACGCGTCACACTGTTCTCTGCTTCCTTGAACTGTTCGTTAGCAAGGACTTTACTCTGATTTCTAGAATCATACCACAAAAGTAACTAATAATGTTTTCCCCTTCTGAAAATAATGTTTGCTCTTGACCAGACTGAAGCCAAAATTCTGGCCTCGTTCTATTTCATCCAACATTTTGTGATCAAGAAATTCTCTTTTCTATTTAAAAAAATCCTCAGAGGTTTATTTCTAATGTTTTTCTATGAGAGATTAGTAACTATTAAACGCCACGTTTGAAAGTTACCTTAAAGCAGAGTTTTAGAGACGTTTAACTGTTCAAAAGCAATTTAAGATAGAGATTTACCTTGCGTTTATAAATGTATAGCATTTTAACACCCAAACTACCATTATCTCTAAGTATGATTATTAAGTCGGTTTACAAAATGCTAGAAGTAACACAATGGGTTTCAAAAGAGATCCTTTCACACCGTGATTGGGGACCAAATGCAGTTACCCACGGTGACCAGTTTATAGACCCCAAACTTAGCTTATTCAGCCTAAAGCGTGAAGTGTGCAGGAGGCAGGTTGGTGCAGAGAGCTTCCTGCTGGCTGGGCTGCCACACACAAGCCCCTGCAGCCCTCCACCGTGGCCTGAGGGCGGGAGGGAGCCCTTATTTTCACATTGACAAGTTCAGAGCTCTGGGAAGCCGGGACCCCACCCAGGGCTTCTGGGGATGGGCTACCAATGCCGGATAGCAGAGCTCTCCTCTGGGATTCTCACAACCACACAGATTTAAGACACAGAGAAACGTTCACTGACATTAGAAAACCTGGACAACGTAAGAACGTGAAATTATCGGAACCAGTTTTATTAAAATCTGCTTTTATTGCACATTTAAAATAAGCTAAGCCACCTTAAAATAGCGTGCCCTGCCTACGTCCCCTCCCCCGACACGCCTGCACTGTCACTTCTGTGGGGACCAAGCCTACCGACCGAGGGCTCTGGATGGCGCTGGGCTGTGCCCGAGGCACGGCTCCCTTGACTGCAGAAGACGCTCGCTTCCCGGCGGAGCTGTTCAGGATCACACTCCAAGGTCCGTCGTGTCCCTGTGTAGCCCGGAATTGCATAAAGAGACACCTCTACAGTGAAAATTCAGAAAAGGTGTAGAAGCTACTGATAAGCTGTCGTCTACTTATCCTTCCAGGCGTGTTGCTCAAGGCGTGAGAACCAAGACGCTCACCCTCGCTGGTTCTGAGAAGTCCACGGGGTGACCCTTGCGTCTTCCCGCCCCGCACAGCCCTCCCGCCCGACAGAAAGCTGCTAGCGCACAGTTTACTACAGAGTTCTTGCAAAACCTGACTTATTTTTACATAGCAGAAGGTGACAGGTGAGGAGGTGGCGTTAGCTCTGAAGCCTCCTGTGACAAGGCTGCAGACAGGCCCGGCCAGGGTGGGCTCGGGGGCCGACAAATGGGCCGACAAAGCCCAGCAAGTGACCCCCTCGGGACAAACAGCTCGTCTGGAATAAACTGTTTTGGTTCTAGGGAGGTTAAAAGCCATCATTTGATATTATCATTGTAGACAAGGCTGCCCTCACATCTGTAGGTTCCACATTTGAAGACTCAATCAATGAGGACGGAATATATCGGGGAGGGCGAACGTTCCAGAAAGGCCCCAAAAAGCAACACTTGAGTTTGCCGCTCTGGCAACTGTTTACACAGCATCTTACATTGTATTTACAACTATTCACAGAGCATTTACACTGGATTAGGTGTTGTACCTAATGTAGAGAGATGATTTAAAGTATCCGGGAGCACGTGGGTGGGTTGTATGCAAATACGACGCCATCTCACATAAGAGACTTTCCTGTCAGGGGTTCTGCTATCTGTGGGGTCCTGGAACCAATCCCCCGTGAATACCAAGGGACAACTGTACTTATTATTTCACAAAAATTGTCAACTCACAATTTAGTGACTCGATTAAAAACCACCACAAACAGTCATTAAACATTTGTTTTTATTAAATCTGTCAGCCGCATAAAAACGTAATACATCATACCTACATCAAATTCTGTCAACACAGACACTACGAGATGAAGCGAATAAATCTGCGAGGAGCTGTTTTCAAGCAAGTGGCAGTAAACGAGGTTGCTGGAGCGTGCGGGCCACTGCCTCTCTGTTGTGACGCCAGTGACGTGCGGGCCCTACGCCCAGAGCGCGCCCGTGGGGCCGTGGCTCTGCTGGCCAGTTCCAGGAGTGGCCGGGGCGCGTGAAGGCTGCTCTGGACCATGTGGTGGCGTGACAGGCTCTGACCTTAGAAAGCCCTGTCCACGTGAACGACCTGTATTAGAATGCACACCAACAGGCAGATCGCGTAAGCATTTTTAAGATGCTAAATGTCAAGTTTTAGGTGCCACAGAGTATGTGTAGCCTTAATTGACATGGTGAAGAATCTTAAATGTTTGTAAACCCAGACCTCTGCGTCCAAGGTCCACTACTGTCAAATAGCCAGGAGGAGTCAATGTTGCTCTGAGTCACAGGACCCGCTCACACGTAGGTGGTGTGCTACTGCCCCACCGTGGCACCGAGAACCACCAAATCCTTGCAGACGAGACAGGTTTGGAAATGCTTCCAAAAGGAAATGCTTTGGGATGGGTGGACAGCTCTCCGTTTCTGCTGTCCACCCAGAGTTCACAGGCAGCCTCTGCTCTCAAAGGTGCAAGGTCTGACCGTCTTCAAAAAAACACTGCAGGGCTTCCCTGGTGGCGCCGATGGCAGGGGACACGGGTTCGTGCCCCGGTCTGGGAGGATCCCACATGTCGCGGAGCGGCTGGGCCCATGAGCCATGGCTGCTGAGCCTGCGCGTCCGGAGCCTGTGCTCCGCAACGGGAGAGGCCACAACAGTGAGAGGCCCGCATACTGAAAAACAACAACAACAACAACAAAACACTGCAAAGGTAAAACTTTCGTTTCAGTCAGTCAGCAGTGAGCCACCCTGGGAGATGATTTTCTTTGTGGCATTCTTTATTTCCAAGCATTTCTAAATATCCCTCTGATAATTTTTGACATCGTTCTGAGAAGCACAGTACTGTGCTTTGTGTAACCTCCTTATCGTCTGACCAGGTGATGAAAGACAAACATCACATTTAGACAGGAAGCTCAGCTACTTTTATTTCATACCTTTAAATTCTCTTCTTCAAAACTCTGTAATAAAATGAACAATTTTGAAACTTTTTGCCTTACAGCGGAGCAAGAGTCAGCTCCAGTTTGGAGAGTTCAAGGTCAAGTTTGAAGGTTAACAAGATGGAGGGAGTGTAAGATCTAGAAGCTCCCTCTATGGCTGGAACAGTGACCACTAATCCCATAAGAAAAGGGAAAAGCTGATTTTTCCAAAGCACGCTGGTAAACGTGACCCTGATGAGTCGCAGGAAACCACGTCTGGCTCCACTTCTGAACTAGGACGTCACGAGTCTCTCTTATAGGAAACATGGTTCATAAAATAAAAATTGGAGGTAAAGAAGTGGCTACTCCGAGGGGCCCAAGGCCCAGCTCACCACTTCTTCCTGCTGTGTGTTCATCTGTCTCCCAGGGCTGTGACGGCTCAGTATGGAAGTGGCTGTGGCCACCTGAGACTCGGGGTGACGTCTACACACACGACGCACCCACGGGCATTTTCTCGAGTCTTCTCCTGTTTCCTTCTAAGCAAACAAGACTCCTTCCTCGTTGAGAGAAACGCGGGTGCCAACCTACACCTCATTCACACTCTGGGCCACTTGTCTGGATGACGCCCGCCAGGTGTGGGGTCTCCTCTGCGTGACACGTGTAGGTGGTCCAGGGTGCGCGTCCTTGTTCTAATAAATGACACATTTTGTCTAAAGTTTGAGAAGCTGTGACTTATGGATCTTCTGAACTATTGGAGCGACAGAGGCAAGGGCCCTGAAACAAACTATTCAAGTAAACTAGGAAGTGTGGAGGTGACGTGTGTTTGGAAGGAGGTGCAGCCTGAGTGAACGTTCTTGGAAGTAAAGGCCACACAACTTTTACCCTCCTAACTGGTCACCCTGTGCATCCACTGGGTTCATCATGGAGGTGTCGCCACCTCATCTCCGCGGGGGTGACGGCAGTGGGGGGGCGTCAGTGAAGGACGGGCCGGTGTGATGGCGGAAGAAATGGAGACCCCAGTGATCCACTGTCCTCTGCTCTAAGGGGGGGTCCCCCAGGGAGTTCATGCCAACAGGAGCCTTTCTAGACGCTGCCAGCCGCCTCCCACCCCCATCACACCGGGCGCCAGTTGCCTCGAGACCCCAGAGGGAGCCCGGCCCCCACCCCGAGGGGCCTGCGCTGTCCCGAGCACCCCATCCTCAGCCGGCTTGCTGCAGCCGCTGCACAGGAGTGGGGCAGCCCCGAGGCCTGAGAGGGGCTGAAGAGGCGGACAGCTCCGTGGACACAGCAGAAGCTCGCGGCAGCCGAGAGGGGGTCCAGGAGGAAAGGCCAGTTCAGAATCTGAGCAGCTGCCACACTTCGCGCCAGGGATTTTATCAGGTGGGGTCTAGCTGACTGCGGGGAAAAGGCAATAAAACGGTCTCATTTTCAGAGTTAAGAAGCCAATAGCACGTGTTCTGTGCACTATAAGCCCAAGGACCGTGCAGTTCAACCCCAAAGCTGCCAACAGTGTTGCTCTCAGCCGGCACCTTGGAGGCTCGTGCGGGCCCAGAGCCAGCAGACCACCGGCTCTCCTACATCCCCCTCTGCACACTGACCACAGGGGCCACGACAGGCCCGAGCGGGGCCGCTGAGAAAAGCAAGGCACTTCCCTGATTGGCCTTCCATAGGGGCATCGCCACCCACGGCCGGCATGAGACAGCCTGTGGGCTCCACGGGGCCAACTGCCTCTGAAGACAGATGTCGGTGGTGATGTGAAAAGATACAGGGCTGTTTCAGGGGTTCACCTGACACGAGATAACCTTCCATGGGTGTAAATCAAAACTGTACGCAAGTAGAGGGAAAGGAAGCTAAAAAAGCCATCAAAATCCATAGCAAATATTCCCTTATTTTATTGAGTAAACAAAGAGTTCTGAATTAGTACATATCTGAAAATTTATAAACGGCAATTTCGACGGGAAACAAACTTTCAAGAACCACAAACCAGGCAACGTCAATGTGTCTTTAAAGAATGAACGAGTTCTGGTTCACAGGGAAATGCCACCCCCTCTTCTCATTCCCGGGGACATAGCTACGTTCATGCAAAAGACAGCATCCAGGGTCACGGCGGACAGGGCGCCGCGTGGAGAGACAGTCCCACAGCGGCCCCCGCGCCCCGGCCAGCCGCGACAAGCTCTGTCACTTCAGGACAGGGGCCGGGGCGCAATCCCACGAGTGAATCCATGGCCTTGAGAACAGACACTGAAATGCCCAACTTTAAGTGCCTGAGAGAACGTTAACATTTTCACCTACGAAGCAATTGTTCCAAGAATGGATTTCTTTCTGGTGCTGCCTGAACCGGGAGGGAACAGCACACCCTGAGGACGCGCAACCGGCATCCCTTGTCACACACACACAGGGTGACGGCCAGAAGCACAGCACGCCTGGTGCTCAGCCACCCCTCCAGGGCAGCAGGTGAGAAGGTGCCTGCAGTGAAAACCACACCCACAGCACCAGAGCAATTAAAGGACTTTGCAAAGTGACGACCTCGGGGATGATCAAAGTTCTCCACGTTAATCTTCTTTGTGCGGTTTTCATTGCCCGCCCCTCCATCCTTACTACCATTTTAAAAACGCATGTTGTGCTCGCTTCGGCAGCACATATACTAAAATTGGAACGATACAGAGAAGATTAGCATGGCCCCTGCGCAAGGATGACACGCAAATAGGTGAAGCGTTCCATATTTTAAAAAAAACAAAACAAAACGCGTGTTAACTGGAAAAAGGAATCCTACTCTAACCCCGCACTGAGAGAGTTCCTGTGTGATGTGAAAAGGCACACACGGGACGCGCCGTTTCCTGCTTTAGTGCTGTCAACCTGACTAACGTGAGGCTGTGCTGTTGTTAGACCCTGGAAACGGAAAGACAATCATAGACTTGACAGCTAGTAAACATAAACAGTCCATATAAGCGGAGTGCGTCACTCCAGGGGACTTGGCGGGGACCGCGGGCACCGCCTCTGGGCTGCGGTGACAGTGCCGGCTCCCCCGCGGGCGGAGCAAAGCGCACCGTGGCCGCGAGCTCTCAGCGGCCGGCGCCGGCGTGAGAAGGGCTGCTCCCAAGCCTGTGGGTCCCATGCCAATCTGCACATTCATCCTGTAATCCGGGTCTACGGGGCCACCCTTCCAAGGTGGTGACACCGCATAACACGTTTCTCAAAGAAAAGGCAATCACAATGAACAGCCTTCAGCAAACCCAGCAAAGGCCTGCTGCTGGCCTCACTCAGAACCATTCTGGATATTTTAATGTTTCCTGTAAACCAGCTCTTACTAGACAGAACACGACAGTGCCACTGCCTGGGCTACAAGCAGAAAGACAAGACCTGTAGGATCTTTCAGGCTCACTTTCCTGGTTGCCGAAGGGTCCCCTCCGGGAGGGGCTCCTCCCACTCGAGTGAAGGGGCAGAAGGGCTGTGGGCAGAGTCCAAAGAAGCCACAACTGATGTGAAAGAAATGGTTTCAATATAAAAGGAAAGCTGTAAAATTAAACATATCGTGAACACTCTGGAAAAGGAAAGTTGTTCAGAATTTCTCCAAATCTGAGCAAAAAGCTAACCCTGAATCTGAAAATAACACCTTCACCAGCAGTGTCCACAGAGCGTCTGGGATGCTGGGCTCGTTCTAGAGCCGCGCTGCCCATGCATGGAACAGGGGGTCAGGGTCAGCAGTCAATGCAGCTGCAGGTCCAGCCTCCAGGGCTGCCTCCAGGGGCAGACCGACAACAGCCCAGGCCGCTCGGCTTCCCTGCAAGTCACCGGCACAAATGGGAAAGAGAAAGACGAGACAGATGTGCTATCTCGGCCTTGAGCAGCACGCGGACCGGGTCTGGATCCCGATTTGAGCAAACCAGACGTCGGCCAGCGCTTCGTCCACCTTGTGGGGTGACGTCTGTGTGGGGCCAGTGAGGAGGCACCTTACGTTTCAGAGACACATGAGCGCTGAGGAAGGTCGTCAGCGCATCAGGCCCGCTTTATAGGAGGGGGACAACACCCGGGGGGACATGGTGGGGGCGGACACAGGACGGCCCCGCCCAACAGGCTTGGGCTTCACTCCTGATACGCCTCTTTCCGCTTCTGCATATCCTGAAAACTGTCTAAACAAAAGCTAGAAAATTATCCCCAGAAAAAGAAGTTTCTTTGAAAAAACAAGACAAAACCTTTAACAGGAAGGTCCAGTAAAACGTCTGAGAACAGGACTTATTCAGATTCTTCGACATGTGACGACGACCACACCCCTACCCCCACCCCCACCCCAGGCCCCCTATCCTGTAGCCCCGGCTGCTCTGCTGGCTCAGACTTTCTGCCCAGACACCAGGACGGGCTGCTTTAAAGACAAAAGGACACTCTGTTAGTTAGGAGCGTCGGTGGGCACAGTCAGGAGACAACAACCGACCAAGGACAGAGGCAGCCGTCGTGTCAACTAAGATTCAGGAAAAGCGTTGGATGGACAGCGTCTGTATCAGTTCCTTGCCACACACACCCACGGTGCGTCTTTTCAGTGACACAAAATGTCCCAGACGTGCCATCCTCACTAGTGACGTCGGTCATGGTCACACAGTCTCTCCACAGACGCTGGCCAGTCAGCACCAATGCAGACGGACCCGTGGCCTGGGAGGTGCGGGGGCGGCGGGTGTGAACGTCCCGGGACCGGAGCCACGAGGGACCTGGCGCGGCGGTAAGGCAGCTGCGAGGATGGAAAGTACTGGCCCATTAGGCTGAAGCCCCTGCTGGTACCCAACTGACACCATCGACAGACGGCGACCGAGCCTGCAGGGAAGCCCCGGCATCTCCACGCGGCCGCCGGGAACGGGGTCCACACACACGGCAAGGATGGGACTTTCAGGAAGAAAACTAACCTTTAAACACAGCGCTGCTCCACCAGGTGAGACTGGGAAGGAAGCACAAGACCCAGTCCATGGACTCGGTGACAAATTCAGCCCCCGAGGGGCCCGGCCATGCAGCCTGTGCTGAGCGCTGGCCCCACATCCGCGGGGTGTGGAGCGCAGTGCCCGCAGGGGCACAGCCACCTTGGCCTGTCCGCACACATGACCTTGCCCAAGGCCTCTGGATGGATGCGTGTGGATGGGGTCTATCAGAATCAGCCCGCAGCTGTGTCGGGTGCACACCTGACCGGAGGAGACACTATTGCTACAAAAGGCCAAGCACCCTGCAGCTTGGGGAGGCCCCGGGTGCCCAGTCCCCACAGGGAACAAGCCCCCGTCGGCCCCAAGGAAACGGCTGGCCGGCGGGAGCCAATGCCATGCCTCTTGGGCCGGTTGGTGTGTCTGGTTCTGCCTTCCCTGCAACCGAGTACGTGGTGTCCCCCAAGGAAGGTGGAAAGGACACAGTCCCGCTTACACCGCAGGTTAAACCAACGCCTCTCCAAGCACGGTTCCTGGATCCTAAGTCATGGACGCAACCAAGCCTCGGGCACTGAGCCCGCCCTGGGCAGTCCCAGACCACAGCACAAGGAGGCCGCAGCCCCCGCTGCCCTCCCCAGGATTTGGGTCCTGTGGGGCCTACTCAAGATTTTGTGCAGTCAAATCAGACAAAACCTTCATCATAATTAATCATAGGCCGCACACCTCACCTTAAAAAGCAGCAACAGGCATAAGGCACATTCCATTAAAGGTCAACATGAATCAGAACCGTGTAACATTCAAAACACATAGCACCATTTCTGCTGTATCAAAGCAAATGCCAGAAGAATAAAGCTGCAAAGGCTAAATGACCAGCCCCGAAGGATGAGCTGGAGAGACTCATCCATTTTAAACCCGCTGCACAGCTTTTAACACCGCTCCAAGCGCAAATTTTAATTTTTTGGCATTCCAAACAGAACAATCAATCAGAGAATTAGGGTGAAAAAAGAATAACTAGCCGTGACCACAAATTGCTTTCTGTATCGAAAGCCGACAACCTGAGCCCTCACCCTCCGAGCAGGTGAGGGTCACCCAGGAGGGAAGCCGGGAACGGTCAGGACAGGTTTTCATCGACCTGCTCTCCAGGAGTCAAGTTCTTTATGTTCCTCTGCAGATCGAAAAGGACTCTCTCTCCCCTTGTCTGAGCAAAGGGGTCACCGAAGAAGAGGCTCACGTCTAGGGGGGCCTCGGCCTCGGAGCCCCACGAGTCTGTGTCGGAGCCGCTCGGGTCCTCGGCCGTCGTGGGCGGGCAGCTGAGCTGCTCTAACTGGTCGATGATGTCCGAGAAATGGAAGGCCGAGCTGGCCTCGGAGCGGACCGAGCAGGCGGGGAAGTTGGCCATGGAGCTGGCCTCGGACTGGGCGGCAGAGCCAGGCGTGTGTGCAGACAGGCTGCCGGGCAGCGGTGCATTGCTGAGGGAGCTGGTCTCGGACCGGTGGAGCCGGAGCGAGCTGGCGGCGGACGGGCTGAGCAGGCGCTGCATCAGGCTGGCCTGCGCCTTCACCTCCAGCAGCTCCGAGGTGTCGGCGGGGTGCGCGTCGCCGAGGCTGCCCTCCTCCTCGGACTCAAAGCCGCGCGCCCCACTCCCACGGGCCGGCTCCGGGGAGGACCCCTCTGGGCTGGACGGGGCAGACCCCAGACGGCCACACAGCAGGGCCTGCGGGCGCAGACTGCCAAAGGGGAAAGGAAAGGCCTCAGAGCCTCCGGCAAAGAAGGAGATGTCTGCCAAGCCGCCATCTCTGAACTCCTCGAACGCCGGCAGCTGGGTGCTTGTCAATGTGAAAACAGGGCCCCCCCGGAGGCTCTGCAGGCCACAAGTGGGCGCTCCCCTGGAAGGGGAAGGGCCCACGGTCAAGGCACCCTCACCATGGCCACGGTGACCCACACGCCCCCTGCCGGCCCCCCCTGCGTCTAGGCCTAGGGTGGCGTGACTCAGCCCCTCAGTACTGCTGGGGCCACAGCTCCACATGCCCCGACCCGACCCGACACCTTGGCAAGGCTGGAATGCAGGCGGCCCGGGGGGTGGGGCTGCGGCCACTCCGCTCCTCTCTGCAGCTGGCCACCTGGCGCTGGGAGCCGGGGGCCCCGTCGGGGAGCCGCTGCTGTCCTTGGAACCGAGCAGGCCCATGGGGGCTGGAGAGGAGGCGGGGCCCGAACAGAAGGAGGCACTTGTTGAAGACGGGGACGCGGGAGTCCTCGTGCCCTCGGTGAACAAGATGCTCTGGGGATCAAATCAGGAGAAGAGAAAAAGGAACGTGTGAAATGAGCAATTACTGCTGGGAAGTCGCAGAGCTAACTGGGCCCAGATGAGCACAGCCGCACCCACACATTTCTGTCACAGCTGCTACAAAGGAGGGCAGCAGGTCAGACCTTTCCTTTTAGAACTGAAGATCTGTAAATGCAGACAGGATTTCAAACGGACCCAGGATCTAGTTAGGTCCCTCGTAAGTCCACTTTTTTCTCTGCGTTAGGTGTGACCTGTCTACAAGAAAGGCCATTTCCACCACTAAAGGCCCTGAGTCTCCCTGGCACCCGGGTCACCCTGAAGTTGCCTGGGGCTGTCTCTGGGCATCATTGCTCCCCTGGGGCTGGGCAGCTGGAGGAGGGGTGAGCTGCCCCACTCAGCTACCCAGGCGCCCTCCCCCACCCTGCCAGGGGTCACCGGGGGACAAAAGGCATCAGTGCATCCACACACCGCCCGGGCAGCAAGGGCCAGGTCCGCACATGGAGCTCCTTGCCCACGCCGTGCACAGGAGCCCCAGGCATCTCAGAGGCGCAGGAGCGGCCCCGCGTATGAGCAGAAAGAGGCTCACGAAGGGGGCGCGGGGTGCTGGGAGGGGCTGCTCGTCACGCCGGGCGCCTGCGCTGCATCCTGGCTCACGGTCCCACACTCAGGGACACGGAGCAGCCCTTCCCACTCACGTGTCACCGAGACACAGCCATGTCACACCGGCACTCAACATCACAAGGGGGCGGTCAGACCAAAGCAGAGCAGCAGCAGCAGCACAGCGACCACCCCTTCAGACAAAGCGGCAGCTCGCGACCCGTAAGATTAATCCCTTGTCGTGTGTCTACCACGTGGCTTTTTCCTAATCATCGACCATATTCCATATTCTCTGTGACTTTTAAAAGACAGCATCAGAGAACTGAAAGCTTAAGTGTAACTTTTAGACTACTCACAAATTTGAACTTTGTTAAAGAAACAAAAATAAGTTCTTTTAATTTCAGTTGATTTAACAAGGAATTCCAAAATAGAAAATGTACCTAGAAGAGTTAAAGAATGTTGATATTTAAAAGACCCGATTAAAAAAAATTTAGGACACACGAGCTTTAATATATGAGATACAAGTGTAGCTCCTGGAAATACTTTAACAGTACAAACGACAACTGTCCACGAAAATCAACTCTGTGCAGCAATAAAAATGTAAAACATGAAACTATACAGCTGCACATAGAAAGTTATGAAATAACAGTACATGAAAAGAGCAAGATTCTCCGTAAAAATATACTTGCATGTGGCAGTCAACACGCAAATGTGAACACAGGGAGAGAGAGCAGAGAAGCAGACCTGAAACACAGAGTAACTGACGTCCTGGCCTCGCAACACAGAACCGTCACGTCTGGGACTCTGTGGCCAAACGTCTCCTGTGAGTGTTTGTGGGCACCTGTGTGTATCTGTTTTAATACAGCTGTGATCATGTCAAACACACAGGCATATACATTTGTTTCCTGCTTTTCACCCTTAAGATAATAGTAAAAGATCCACTCAGTGAGCACGGCTTCATGAAGCAAATCACCTCCCTAAGCTGGCATTTAACCTCACTTTGCACTGTTATAGAAGTAGGTATTTCTCAGTTGTTTTCCTGACAACAAAAAGCACTGTGTCCACTGCACAAAGAGAAGAAAAAATACATAGAGAGAAGCACAAAGAGAAGATAAAAACTGCCTGGATCCAGTCGCTCAGAGATCATGTTTGATGCTGTGCATACACTTCTCTCTTTAAATCAAAATGAGGATGTGACCCAGGCTGCTTTGCACCCTGCTACTTTCACGTACTGATATTTTCTGGGCGCGTCCTGCTCGTGCGCTATTCTCCCGAAACGAGATTTTAAAAGGGTCTTGAGTAGCGCCTCACGTGGACACGCCCAGAACTGCCAGTGACTCACCCGGCACAGACGGTGGGCGCTAGGATTTCTCGAATGACAAACAACACTGTCACCCATCTCAATGCACAGAGCATTCTCTTCACTCAGGACTCCTTTCTGCAAACAGGGTCCCAGGATTGGAATTTCCACACAAGTGACAAAGCTAATTTTAGGACTCCTGTTACAACATTGCCAGATTATTTCCCCAAAGAGGACAGGTGATTATATCGTGTACGTTTTACGCAGAAGGACTGACCTGCCTCGGCAAGTTGGCATTTAGGGCGCGGAGAGACATCCGGGTCTTGCTGTGTTTTCTGCAAACAGAGAACAGGCTGTGAGCCCCCAGCCCTCCTCGCCCGAGCCCTGTTTCTAAAGCAGCACATGCTGTGCTGCAAGAAGGACTCGCATAAAAATGTGGCCAAGCCTCTGTTAACACGAGGCACCTAACTAGGAATGGCAGGATGACAGAAAACAAGCACTCAAACAAAAAATACACGTCCAGAAGAGGTGAAATTATCCCCTTCACACTGAAGGAAAAGCTCCACATGCAAAGCAACGACATGAATTTTCAGATTCAAAGTTTACCATGCTATGTAAAAACATTACATCTAAGCTAAGTGATACAGACTAGAACCAAAAAGCATTATCTGTATCTGTACACAATAACTGTAAATAACTGTAAAATACAAACCTATTACCATTAAAATAAATAAAAGAAACAGAACTCAAGTGTCAAAATACACGTTTACATATTTGAAGTGATTTTTATTCACATACAGGTTAAAGTATTTAAAATGTTAATTTTAAAAGCCTACACTTTTCATCACGAAGATGAGAAAATTTACCTTTCATACGGAATCCCCTTCATCCCACCATCTTTGACATAATCCACTAGTTGCTTCTGAGTTCTTCCACTGTGAAAAAAAATCAGATTTTAAAGAAAAGAATAAACAGTAATTCACAGCATTAATTTTTCACAAAAGCAAAGTAAGACTTGCCCATCCTCTCTCATAAGTTTACATATACATTTAAAAATTATACTTTGCAACAAGCATAACCAGTTTTCTAAACAGTTTTTATGAAGCCTATTTTCCCCACTATTTTATTTGCTATGCTTTCTCCAGTTTTACAATAGCTGCAGTCTGTGTGTAGTTCTCTGGAACATTCACACCACCTTCTTGACTGAGGCTGTTCGGGTTCTCAGTCCCACAGACAAGGCCAAGACCCGCCTGGCACTGCTGCCCCACCTGTATCTGAAGGAGGAGCCTCTGCTGAAGAGGACGGCTCTAGCTCTGGGCTTCGGCTGATCAGAAAGTCTGAAAAAGGTGTGATACTCTACACACGTCTTCCAGAAGTTCTTACACGCGTCCCTACTCCCCAGCACGAATTCCAGGGTGTCCTGGTAAGGCCCCTGGGAACAAAAGACAAAGGTTCGAGTTACTATATCAAGAATAAAATTTAGGAAGGCAAAAGGCTACTCCAAAGTTAAAGATTAGCACATTTTCTTCCTCAAAGTTGTATACAAAGACTTCTGGTTCCATTTACATTTAAGAGAAGAAAAACACAAGGTATATATTCATTGTAGAAACATCAGGAAAATGTGGCCATCTACCATTACACAACTGCTAACATTCTGAAGTTTATCTTTGTAACCTTTTCCCACCTAGGAAACTAAGGCATCTTTCCAGGCCGGCTGACGCATTTATCTATTATCACCCAATCATTCTGCTGGGGGTTTTTCTGGGATGTTTCAGATGCCCAGGACACACAAGGTTTTCAGGCTCACAAATACCACCATGAAGAAACTACTGCATTGTCTCTCATGGCTATTCCTTAGGATAAATTCCTAGAAATGGTACATTGAGCTCAGAAACAATGCACATTTTTGAACCTTATGACATATTATTACCAAATTACTTTCCAGAAAGAGTATAATACTTTGACTCCTATGTTTAATCTTAAAAATCTAAGTGCTTAGGGATATAAAACGTAACCTTGCCAGGTGCAGAGACAGACACAGTCCGGAACTTTGAAATATCATGCTATTCCAAAGAAGAGTTGCTTTGGAATATAAAGCAGTAATTCTCTTCTTTCCCTGTCCTTTCAGAATAACTGCCAGAAACTTTTTTTTTTTTTTTTTTACTTATAGAGAAAAAAAAAAAGCAGCCTTTTACTTGTATTTTGTACATGTTTTTGGCATTCCTTATACTTCTCTCTCATCCGCAGAAGAAATATTCGAGTAAAAAACAATTAAGCTATCTGTTCATACCTTCTACCAAACACACTTACACGCCGCACATGACCCTGGGGTTTGACAAAAGCTAATCAAGTGCCTTTGAAAAGCTTAGGTGAAGCCTCTCCTCCAGATTGGCCCAGAGCTCTGATCGCCTAGAGTGTGTCTAAGCTGCCAGCCTCCTAAGCTTCAACCCCACAGCGGCTCAGCTAATCTACTTTTTATTTCCCAACTTCCTTTGTACAACAGACATGCAACAATGTGAACATCTTTGAATAGTCTGACATACTGGATTTTTCCAACTATCAGACTGTACAGACATTTACTTTTCCCCCTTTTTACTAACTTCAGTAAATTTATACTTAATTATTACCTTACTGACCCACAACCTCAAAAGAAAGGAACCTTTATTTTCTGAAAATCAAGTCTACTTCGATTAGAGCCATTAAAGGGTCAATTTCTGAATCAAAGACATATGAGAATACTGGAAACGCCCCTCTCTTCACTCTGGACAGAAGCTCCAACACTGATTTGCTGTGGGGCTTCAGATCACAGCTAAACACTCTGTATTTCAGCTTTTTTATTACCCAGAGAAGGACCGGCTGTAACAGACCAACATTTCTCAGCAGCCCTGGGAGTCTGTGGCATGTGCACTCTCCCAGGCCAACCCCACAGCTGAGTCTCGGGCGGGGCCGCCCCCGGGGATGCTGATATGCCCTCTAGGTGAGAACTGCTGGGCAGGTCACCCCGAAGCCTGTCCCCAGCCCTGAATCCTGTCCTTAAATTCTTATGTGAGTTATGCTGAAATGATATATAAAGCAATTAAAGGGACTTCCCTGGTGGTGCAGTGGTTAAGAAGCCTCCTGCCAGTGCAGGGGACACGGGTTCGAGCCCTGGTCTGGGAAGATCCCACATGCCGCAGAGCAACGAAGCCCGTGCGCCACAACTACTGAGCCTGCGCTCTAGAGCCCACAAGCCACAACTACTGCAGCCCGCGTGCCCTAGAGCCCGTGCTCCACAGCAAGAGAAGCCACCACAATGAGAAGCCCGCGCACCGTAACTTAGAGTAGCCCCTGCTCACTGCAACTAGAGAAAGCCCACGTGCAGCAACAAAGACCCAACTCAGCCAAAATTAAACAAATAAATTTTAAAAAGAAGTAATTAAAAACTCAGTATTCTAGCAGAGTAAATTCTCTTACAACTTAAAAAGTTCTCAAAATAATACTTACATGGACCTCTGGGTGGAGTTTGATAAGAAACCTCTTCCTCTTGAAGCTGAGCTTCCGGAGCCTGGACCAGTTGAAAGTGTTGATCTTGGTGCTGCTCTGGAATTCAGGACACAGACGTTCCGTTGAGGAACATCTGTAACCTGACGCGTGCACACGACTTCTCATGAAACAGAGAAGGTTAAGTCACATCCTTGCTGGAAAGCACAGCAAGCCCCTGACACTTTATGTTCGGAAAGACCCTGAATTCAAATGTCAATACTAAGCACACAATCTCTCTGTTTTAGGAAGAAAACTTTATTTCTTTGATAAAGCTTTATTACAACCTCTTTTTTTCAGTGTTAACAGTGAACATTTTTGAAGCCCCCCTACTGCAAGGACGGCGGCTGGGAGGGGCCTGGTGGTGGCAGGGCGGAGCTGGAGCGGAGCTGGGTTTCTCACTGAAGGGAAGGACGGAGGGATCCCAGAGGTGCCGGATGGGACCCGGACCCAAGGCTGAACCCCCGACTCTCCAGAGTGGGCACACTGGGCAAAGCCCTCAGCTTCTAAACAATTGTGTCCACTAAGGAGACCAGGGCCCTTTGCTCTTCCAGGGTGGGGCAGGCAAAGAACAAAGGAACCTGGACCATCTTATTGTGTAAGAAAGTAAACAAGTGCTGAAAAAATGATGGGGAAATGTCAAAAGGACACAGGAGAGACTTCCTTCCCTGGTGGTCCAGTGGTTAGGACTCCACCTTCCAACGCAGGGGTGCGGGTTCGATCTCTGGTTGGGGAGCTAAGATCCCACATGCCTCGCAGCCAAAAGATCAAAGCATAAAACAGAAGCAATATTGTAACGAATTCAATAAAGACTTTAAAAATGGTCCACATCAAAAAAATCTAAAAAAAAAAGAAAAGGGCGCAGGAGCCACCTGAAGGGACTCCCTGATGTGGGTCAATTTAAAGATCAAAACAAATAATGACAACAGATCAAGTATCAGATTATAACCCGAATTATAACTTTAGTGATAGTACGATTACAATACAAACCCATGAGTCCACAGGGACGTAAAGACAATAAACACACGAGGAGAAAACCCTTCTAGGATCATGAAGAATGGAATTTAAAAAGCTAGGGCTTCCCTGGTGGCGCAGTGGTTGAGAGTCCGCCTGCCGATGCC